TTTGGGAAAAGCTTAAAGGGCCCATCTGATGTAAAATATCTCTTTTCACATTGTATCTTCTGCACATAAGGGCCCGGACAAGCAGAAGTAAACAACAAGGCCAAAAATTCAAGTTAATGCATCTGATATAAAAATGTATTGAACAGATACATATGTACTCTAGTTTATGAAACTGTTGACCTTTTTTCTGTACCATTTTTTGGTTCTAAAGTTCCATATGTTTTAAACAGACCATGTATGAAACATGGAACAAAAATTATTTCCCAAATTTCAAAGACCCAAAAATCATGTAAATAAATGGATGTATTTCATCATATCTTGTGTTATTCCATCTTTGAACTGTTGATGAAGGTACATGATTTAAAAAAAAAAAAAAGTATTTAAAATGATAAAAAATTTGCTTGGAAGGACTGACATATTTTATAGAAATAGTTTCCTTTCATTTTGAAGTAATATTAAAGTATTCAGAAGAAAAAAGTGACAAATGATGTAAAATCCTGCACCTTCTACTTGTTTGCACAATTTTCCCTCCGTTACTTTTCCCTCCGTTACCATGAACTTTCTTAATAAAAAATCTCATGAGTCAAAAAGTAAGAGGTTTTTCAACCTAATCTTGTACCATATGGTAGAAAACTATATGAAGCAAATATTCAAACCAGTTTGTTAAGGATATGTAAGTGAGAACCAAGAGTTATCACTGTTTGGATTTATTGACCAAAAAGTGCTGCATATTTCATTCCCTCCGTTACCGACATGAGTTTTTAAATTTTTTGTCAACAACTTGAAAGAATCTCACAGGTTTAACTTGACCCTGTTGGAGTGTAACTCTTTCCTACATTCTGATACTTTACTTATTTCAATAGTTCCTCTAGTTTCTGAATAAGAGACATTTGAATGTCAAAAATCTGACCCTGTTTCCCTCCGTTACCACTTGACCGGAGCCATATTCAAGCACAGTTTGGGTTTTGGAACATCCATTACACAATAGTTCTGAAATCTATTGCTCCTCCCCCCGCCCGTCCTGAGAAAGCACAGGCTCCGCCCTCCAAACTTGACGTAGGCTCTGAGTGAGCCGCCCTTCCTCCGCCATCTCAGGGAGGGAGGGGGAGACAGACGTGCGCCCTGATAGCGACAGGAATAAACTTTTTTTGTTTTTTATTTATAATTTGTCAAACTTAAGGGATTGGATAGGAATAAACTTTTATTCATCATAGAGATACAGCGCGTTCAGCCGCATTTTGTACAAGTTGCAGCCGCTTAAACGTAGAGGCATTAAAAGACATAAAAAGAGAATTACAATAATCTAAACGAGATGAAATAAAAGAGAGACCAGTTTTATCAAATGCTGATCTTGAAATGATTGTTCAGAGTTTAGTGTTGTTCCAAAGCTGATAAAAACAGCTTTTAACCACTTGTCTGCAGTGCCCCTCCAAAGACATAGAAATCTAGGAGTGCTGTTGGACAAATCTAACTCTGGATTGGACTGAGGAGCTCAGTGAGACGAGGTGATCCTTGATTTGAGGATTTTTTTCATCTGGTGCCAGATAAAGCCTTTAGAGCTTTATATATTCCAGACCAGTAATGTCGTAATGCCGAACATTCCCAAAATACATGAAAATGGTTCACCTCCGTAGATCCACATTTCCTCCAGCATTCGGCATTTGCATTTTTATATTTACTTTGTTGGGAGGTCTTAAAGAATCTTATGATATTTTTCCAACAGTGTTCTCTCTGTCAGTGAGCTCGTGGAAGTCCCCAGCTTTCTTTCAGATACAATTATTCCTGCTTTGTTTTCCCATTTTTTCTTGATATGTTGAGTAGTATCATTTCTTGCATGAAGGAGAACATTATACAGTTTGGAAATTGCGTTTCTTATAGACGCATCATATGTCGATTTGATGATCTTAAAAAAAATTCTGCTTCAAACCCTGGGTATTTCTCATGACACACTTGTTCCGCCTGACCCTCTGACCCTCTCCACGGCCTCCTCTTTTCTCCTGTTTCTTCTCTCCACATTTTAATTCTGCTGTTCAGATTTACCGTCGTTTTTAGCAGGTCACCGTGACTTTTCTCGTTTCTCACCGTGTTCCTCAGCGTCGCTCTTAACCCCCTGTGAATCTTGGTATTTCTCAGTAACTCTGCTTTATTGTTCTGGGGCTGTCGTCCTAAATCTCACTCTGAACAAAACATGTTTAGAGGTGAAATGGGACTTACAGACGTGGAGCAGAGGCGTTCAGTCTGAGGTTCTGAGGTACGGCAGGTCCATGTAGGTGGAGCCGAGGTCGGCTGGATAAAGATGATGTCCTTAAATGTCGGCTTTGGGCTGGAGCGACCCGCAGATGTTTGTGTGGATCTGAACTTTGGAATGTGAAAAGCATCTGGACTCAAGAAGTTATGGGCTTTAAAATGAAGTACAGTGTGTCCTTTTGTAAAATGTGTTCGTGAAAATTTTAAAAACACTGGATCAGAAGATTAAGTGAGCGAAGTCTCATGATCATCAGAATCGGTATCGGTCGATAATTAACATGACTGCATAATGATTGGTTAAAAAAAAAAAAAAAAAAAAAACTAAAACTTTCAGTGCAAAAATAAAGGTTCCAGCTCAGTAAAAATCAGTAATATTTGATGTTTTTTTACTCAAAATTATGTTTAATTATGTTATTAACATTAACACCATTTATAATCAACTACAGAATATAAATCATAAACTACAACACATGAACCAGGTCTAAACCAGGACTGAACCAGGACTACCAGGACTGAACCAGGACTGAACCAGGACTAAACAGGACTGAACAGGACTGAAACTAAAACAGGACTAAACCAGGACTAAACCAGGACTGAAAACAGGACTGAACCAGGACTGAACCAGGACTAAACCAGGACTAAACCAGGACTAAACCAGGACTGAACCAGGACTGAACCAGGACTGAACCAGGACTAAACCAGGACAGCAGTGACCCTCCTGACCCCTGCAAACTCTGCCTATGGACTGCAGTTATTCTCGTGGTAATCCAAGGTCTTATACTGTATGTAGAAATAAACTATACGACTGGAATAGAACTACACAGATGATATACTCACTCTAAACAAGGACTGACCAGAGGAGGGCAAAAATGTGGTTTAAACTGTATCGAAATTCTATAATAATAATTAGGGATGTCCCGATGACATTTAAAAAAAATTTGAGTATCTGCCGATACCGAGTCCCGATCCGATACTTCTATAAAACTTTATGAAATGAACTAAGGATGTGTGCGGGATCAGATTGTGTTGATTTCATGTGTAATATTTGGGCTGAACTTGTGAAAAATCAAAAGTCAAATTTTTTTTATTAACTTTTCTAAGCATGAAGCATCATTGTTGAAACTTGACTTTTCACAGTCTGGTCTTGGAATGTGTAACTTAGGCTGCGTTCAGACTGCAGCCTGAAGTGACGCAAATCAGATTTTTTGGCCCCTATGTTCCTGTATCTGATCTTTTAATGTCAGTCTGAACGACACAGATCCGATTTTTTTATTCAAATGTGACCCAGGACACTTGGATATGTGCTCCTGAAACTGATACATATCTGATCTTTTGACATGTGACTTCAGTGTGAACGGCCAAAGCGCATTCATCCATCTACACGTTATCAACAAGACACAAACGTCACTATTCTGCGCTGAAGTAGATGAAAATTGTTACTGAACTCTGTGTGACTGAAGTGAAGCACATCTCCACTCACCACTCTTGGCTCCGTCTCCACATCCACATGTTCCTTTCAACGGACTGAACCACAAAACACCACGACCACAAACCTCGTCCTTCTCCTTCTCAATCTCCTCCTTAAAACAAGTAAGTTGTTCATGTTCTGGCTCCGGTACGAGAGGAACTTTAAAATCTCCAGGTGCTCGATGCTGCGTCCATGTTTGGACAACTTCTGTAAACACAGAGACGCTCGCTGCGGTTGACGTCGTTGTGTCTCCAGTGTCACATGTGGGACACTTTTGGGCCGTTTAATGTTCACACAGGAGTCACATACAAGTCACATTTAATTGGAAATGTGAACGACCTCGAAAAAATAACAGATTTCACAAAAAAATCGGAATTGAGCGTTAAGCCCTGCAGTCTGAATGTTGCCTTAGTAAACTTAATGAACTGAACAAAACAGGAACCAGACCAGAACCAGATCAGACCTGAGACTCGACTCTGCACAATCTACACTTTTTATATTTGATATTATATGTTTGCATGTGCATTATATTTGAAACATTTAGACTCGTCTATGATCCAAATAAAACAAAATCTTACCAAAAAAATACGAGATGACAGAAGCTCCACAGCCTCTCTCCCCGCACCGCCACCACATTCATAAACCCACAGAGTGCACCACAACATCAGTCCCACCGCTCAATAGACACTTCTCGCCACTGGACGGACCCTCACCGCCAAAAGCGCCAACTCCCCTGTGTAGCAGCACTGTTTTTTGCAACACCATCGGTTGCGCAGGTGTGAACACGGGCCACAGAATCACAGGTAACAGCGCCCGAACACGGCACGGCCCAAAAGTCCCAGCGTAAGTGCACCTCTAGTACAACAGACGCTGGGACAGACAGACGCGCTGACGGGACGTCCCTGAACAAATCCCACGCCTCAGAAAAACTGTTGTGTCCTGTGTGTTATATATGTATATTATTTATCCGATACCTGATCGGAACATAACGGCCGAGTCCAAATCGAGTCCACAGTCAAGTGATCGGTACAGATTTCCGATCACGTGATCAGCTCGGGACAACCCTAATAATAATAGCTGTTTATTAATTGTTTACTTTTAAAGGTCTTATATTACACAAAATTGACTCTTTGGAGCTTTAAGACATGTTTATAATGTTGTTACCTCGTCAAAATGTCTGTTTGTGTTGAGGAAGCCACATTAGAACATCAGAAAATAGCGTTTCATACAATCCCTTTCACACAATCCTAATCTGTGTTCATGCTGATTTGTTTCTGTCTTCTAGAAACCTCTTCCCGTCCAACTTGGTGGCCGCTGCTTTCCGCTCGGTGAGTTTTTTTAATGTTTAATTCTTCTCGTCTTTGTATCCGGTCACTCGCACACACACTCCAGCTCCACTCGGTCACTTCAGATCCACTCTCTCTCCTCTAATGAACTCACTTTTACAACGCTCCGCCGAACGCCTCTTGTCCGGGTTCCCTGGATACGCCGCGTTGTCCTGGAGAAGCGATTCCATTCTGTCCGACCTGGCAACGCGGCCGTGTCCGACCTGGCAACGTGCTCGGCTGGTTTGGCTTCAGTCCGATCCGGAGCACTTCTGCTGCCTCGAAGGAGTCGCGAGAGAAAGAACGATATTTGAGATGATAAAACAGAGCGGTGTATGTCTGATCGATGTTATGTTTCCTCATCAAAAACAGACCTGGAGTTGTGTTTTGTTTCATTCACACACGTTTAACACTAGGGCTGTGCAAAAATATCTAAATATTGATATATCATATCGCTTAATGTGATGATACAGTATCGATATCGTGGGCTGTTGTATCGATATATCACCAAGAGTATTAGTTATTTTGTTACAGCTACAGTTTTGTTGTTTGTTTAGAGGAAGGAAACTCGTTTATGCGACACATTTGACATTTTCACTGTTTTGATGATTAAAATGTTTGTGTTTCATATGAACTTTGCACAAGAAGAAGTGGTTTAACAAAGACTTTTACTGTCAAAGCCTTGATTTAGCCTTTATTTTTTTCTTGTACCGTATCAAATTGATTTGAAATATATCGTATCGAATCGAAATTGCACTGTATCGAGATATATATCGTATCGTGGCCTATGTATTGAGGTGTGTATCGTATCGGCAACTTCCTAATGATACCAGCCCTATTTAACACACAAACCCTGTTGATTTAGGCTGAGTTCTTCTCTCTGCTTCATGACATCACAAGGTGGAACAGAGCATTTTGTGCTTTGGAGATGTAGACAGACTCATAATGCAGGATTTGTTAAACATGCATGAATGAAACAAAACACAACTCCAGGTCTCTAACTGCAATGAAGAAAACAAACAAGTTAATCGCGAGCTAAATGCTAGATTTAGCAAGAGTTGCCGGAGTTGCTCAGAAGTGACACTGAGGATGAATTCAGTGGATTCAGTGATTTGGAGTGAGTTGGTGAACTTGTTCTGTTCTGTTGTTTATGCTGTAGTTATCTGAAGAACTGTTGGTGTTATGTTAACAGTCTGTTGTTCTCTCTTCTATTATTTTTACTAGAACTTGACTTTCAAGATGAAATGTAGGTTCCTGGTCTCTGATTTTATAAAATAAATTTCCCCTCAAAAATGCGACTTACAGCTCAGTGCGATTTATAGATGATTTTTTTCTTCTTCATTATGCATTTTATGCCTGATACAACTTATAGTCGTGAAAATACGGTAGTTATCGACTCTGAGCTTGTGATAAAACCGTGGATTCAGCAGCAGAGTCTTCATAACCTGGCAAAGCTTTTCCATGGAGAACAGGACTCGCGTCTTCGATGTCACTTACAGACAACTGGTCGTAACTGTTGATCTGCCCGACATAACAGAACGCTACAATGACCTTTTGATGATTTTCTCAGTTTTCTCAGATTTTGTCAGGGTTACAATCGCCAACAGAGCCCAAAGAAAGTCGTCATCCACATGTTTCCAGACTTCTTCCGGTTTTGTGATGTCAGCATGAATAGATTTGCAGTGACAATACAAGTTCAGCTTAGCTCTGCAGTGACATCTGCCGAGTCTCAAGACAATCAGCTCTAATAAAGGCCTAAAATTTTAAATTCTTCTCTTACATAAAAACTATCTTTACAGAGTGATGAGTAAAGGTGTATTCATTTGGTGTCTTAAATACAGAAACATCCATTTCTTCTTACTCCAGATTTGACATAGAACAATAAATGTCCATGTTTGTCTCCCTGAAAATTGACAAGTTTAATGCCGTACTGTGGGAAAACACTTATCAAGACCTCAACATATGTGAGCAGCGTCTCTCCACCACAGAAGTTACTGCATCTTTACAAAGAATTCAGAATCTTCTAGGTAATTCATTGGGACTGAGAGGCCCTCCTGCTCGTGTTTTGGTGAATCACAAACTAAAGAACAGAGTCTCGGTTGTTTCAATGCAAACATGTCGGGGGCCGCTTTTGACGCTGTCTTTACAGTTTCAGACCTCGTCTTGATGCGAGGGGCTCCGCTCTTTGGGCCAAGTCTAAAAATACCGTCAAATGAGTCGAGCGCGGTGTCCAGGCTCAGGGCTGTGACAGAGGCCCATGTGGAGGCTCCGGGGCTGGGACACACTGAGACTCACTGCAGCCTGGAGAAAGTCTGTTACACCCAATAGACACAGACTCTGTAAAACACTTCTTGGCCTGGTTGCGTCAATTGCTTGTTTTATTATAATTTAATTTTATGTATGTATTTATTTTGGGCAAGTTAGAGATTCATATTATTTTACAGAGGAGCATATAACATTAGTGAAATCATAATAGAATTAGATAAGATTAATGCTGCATTGTTGTTCATTCCAGACAAAGTAATAACATGACTGTGTAGAAAAGCTGCTGATTCATGCTTGGTGCAGGTGCAGAGGTTGAGGCACGTTCACACAACAACGCTTCTGGATGTTTTTGGGTTTTTTTGGCATTGAGATTGAAAAAAAAATTGGCGTCCATACACGTGCCGGCTCAATAAATATTCACGTCCACTCGACAACAGAGCACTGAGTGAAATAGATGTAATACATAGGCCACACCTGTATGTGGCGCTGTTAACAGGATACAGAAAGATACAAAAAGCGCATGCACATGAAGTCCTTCCTCTTCCGCAACAAGCAAACACAAGCAGAATGACAGTTTCCCAAAAGCTGTGGTTTGCTTGTCCACGCAACAACGCAACGCCAGCATTTTCAGATTTCTCCACTCTGGAACCCGTTCTCAAAAAACACCATTTTCGCTCACCCAAAACGCCGGCTCCGTGTGGACGAAAGGCCAAAACGAATACAAACTTCACTGTTTTGACCAAAAAACGTTGTCGTGTGGTTATCACCTTAGGTTTAAACCAAGTTCTGTTTTTTGATTTTACAACACGTAGTTACAAAATTTAGGAGGTGCACGTCGGCCAATGCAGGTTCAAGGTGACACAGACGCTGCATCAGGACGCAAACAATTTGACACACGACCATAACTTGGGCTTTAGCTGTATATTCACAGTCTAAATGCCTCTAAATTACTCTGTGGCGGTGTTGTTTGGGCGGTCACAAATCAGGAAGACGTTTGGAAACATGCGATGACGACTTCCAGCAGGTTCTGTTCGCGGTATAAGTCTGACAAAATCTAGGAAAAATTAGAAAATGTCCCAGTTTTCTTCATGTTATTGTAGTTTTCTGTTATGTTTGTCTAATCAACAGTTCCAACCGTACCTCAGTTTTCATCATATCCCCACTGACGCACAACTCCAAGTGCACTGGGTACATGTGATTAGAAGAGACGAGGCGCCAAATTCCGCATGATTCCAAACAGCACATACGTCTGCAGTCTTCATTTTACCGCTGATCACATTTATTGTATGTCATTAAATGGTCTGTTTTCGAACGTTTTTCACAAATAAACCGCTTGGGACTTTAAAGGAAACCCAACAGTGTGATGGGTGAGTGGTTTTGTTTGTTTGTTCGTTCACGGTGACTCTGGGCTTTGTTCAGTTGTGGCGTGTAGGGAGGGTGTGTCTGGGACCAATGGATTGTCGGCGTGTTCGCAGTGACTCAGTTGTTCAGTCGTGTCTAGAAGCGGCACGTCGCGCTCGCTTTTTTCGGTTCGTTCCTCCGTTCCGTTCCTCGTCGGCGTGGAGTGATGAGTGTGTCTGTGGGTGTGTTTCTCTGTGCGGTCGCTGTCTGCTCCGTGTGTGTTTGCGGTTTTGTAGTTTACTGAAGTCGTGCTGGGACACTCGAGTGGATTCGTGTATGGGGGGCTCTGGATTGTGGCGCGTGGTCGTTTTTTGATGGGGTTGGAGGCTTAAGATCGCGACCTAGAACCTGGAAAATACGGTACTTCAGTGGATTTGGTCAAAGTCGGTCAGCGAGTCCAGAGTCGGGAACTACACCGGAAGTCGTCATCGTATCTTTCCGAACGTTTTCTTGGTTTGTGACGTAACCGTGAACAGAGCCTCTTGGATAAAGATCTTAAGAACCAAAAAAACATTTCTAACTTTAATAAATTGGCCGTCATGTGCAGTGTTTTTGTAATGAAGTATACATCAGCATTATAATTGTTATCAGTAAAAGCTGCGTTTGTTTGTCTTCATGTTTATCTTGTATCTTAGGGCACAGATACAGTAGATCCTGAACTTTCACATCATCATCTATGACATGGTTCCTTTAAAACCAGTTCTTAGTAAGTCTAATCTGACAAACACAATATCGTGGGAAGGTCCAGGTCTGTACTGGACCCAGTGACCCTCTGGCTCCTCGGGTCCTGCTGCTCACACTGGGGTTTGGTTTATCATTCACCTGGTTTTACCTCAGAGTTTCCCAGGGACATTCACATCAGCACTTTTCAAGATTTAAAGATACACTGGCCACGTTTACATGATGTTTTTTTAATTCCGAATGAATAGTTCTGAATTAAATAGTTAATTCTGCTCAACGTCTGGGGGTGAGAAGGTTCTGATTGGACAGAGGCACGAACGTATTTACATCGACCAGAAGAAAAGACACACTTCAGCTGCTCCCGGCTTTTCTGTTGTCTCGGTTTGTCGTTACTCCACGGACACAAACGCGATCCAAACTTTTCCCGCAGTGGTTCCGATGATAATTGAGCAGCAGCTGGAGAATTGTCTCATCACGCTTTACGTCTGTGAGTTGAGGAGGAGAAGGGAAGAGTGTCGGAGAAGGAGGAAGAATACAAACTGAGTGTGAGGCTACTCTACCTCCGCCCACTCCCGCATCCCGCTCGCAAATCCAAAGAGACGTGGAGGAAAGTCTGAAACCAGGACTGGTGGAGCCAGATCGTCCACAACGAGCATGAGCCGAACCACCGACATTATTTTTAAGAGGAATAAACGTTTACATGATCGAGAAATAAATTAATTCGGCTTTAAAATCTGAATAAACCACACACTTACTCTGGAATAAAGTTTAATTCCGAATAATCATTTTCATTACAAATTAAGTGTTTACATGGTCTTTTAAAATGAATTCTCATGTAAACGTGTGAAACTTTTGTCATGAAGAACCCACCACCTGCTTGTCTAAGTCTCCATGGAGATGTTTTTAGCCTTGGTTTGAGGGACTGATATTGTTATAATCATTCTTTTTAATACCATTCATAATAATTCGATTTTAAGATGTCCTTTTCTGTCCATCAGTGACATACAGTTACAGATGTTTTGCCCAATGACACAACAACATTCAGACCTCAGGCAAGATTTGAACCACCAACCCTTCTGTTAGTTCCACATCCACATTTGAATACTCTTTATACCCCCAGCGAGAAGCAGAGATGTAAAGTTTGAGAGCAAATAATAAATCAAATGTTTTTGTTTGCAGTATGCCACGGATTACAAGATGGTGGCCGTCGGGAACATGACCAACGGAACCAAGATCTACCAGAAGGTACTGTTACCATTACTCTTTTTTGGGCTCATAAGAATAAGTGAGTGCGACATCACCCGCAGCGTTCGGCTCCAGTCAAGTGAAGCTCATGAGGTCGGCAGTTATAGGGGCGACTTTGGAGCAGAGTTCTGTCATCAAACCTGTTGCGAACACTGGTAAGAGCAAAGTCGAGGAAAGAAGGTGCCTGATTTGTCTCTTACTACACATGTAGAACGGGTTAATACGAACATTCGATGGTTGATGGAGCTGGAAGTGCGCCCATGCTCACTTCCTGTTTGGAACACGGTGGCTGGTGGCTTAAGACTGAATTGTAGGGGGTCAGACTTATCATCAGAAGAGCCTCTAGTCAGAAAATCCATGTTCAGGTAGTGTTACAAATTGTTACAAATGAAATTGTATTTCAAGTTTTAAATATTTTTAAAAGTAAATATTAAAAGTAATAAATATATTAAACCCTTAAAATACAGAAAAAAATTTTGAGGAAATAATGATTTGGGTGGAAATGTCTGTCTTAAGTGGAACAGGGTTAATAATTGTCTGACTTTCAGGCAACAACTTGTAAAATGTTCAGTAATTCGAGCTCTGCAACCTTCATTTCAATTTTATTTTAAATCTTTTTCTTTTAATATAGCATTGGTTGGTTTGTAAACTAACAAATTAAGTAATGTTGGCCTTAGCTAATGCTGTTTGCATGATTATGTGTTTTCCTGTCAATATCTCTAAAATTGTTGATGTTGCAGCCATTTTTCATTGGTATAAATCCAAAAGTTTACTAATTATTCCCTGATCTCCAGGGATTATTCCCTGTTGCTTTCATCAAATATACATTCAATTGTTCAAGAGAAATGTTGCTGACAAACCAATGGAAGAGGGAATAATTTTCTGACTAGTGGGCCTTCTGACTAGTGGGTCTTCTGACTAGTGGGCTTTCTGACTACAGGGCCTTCTGACTAGTGGGCTTTCTGACTAGGGGGGCTTTTGATGATAAGGGTGTAACCAATTGTAGTTCTGCGTTGGCTCAACACACTCTGCCACCGTCGCCTTGTCCGCGCCGTTTTTGATTTATGGATCTCAAGGTCTGTGCGCCGTGAGGTAAATCACGGACACAACACTAGGGGGCGAGGATTGCATTCGTTGTGTTTGTGTTTACAAAATGAAGCGGGAAAGCAGAGTGCCAGAAATGTTTGCAGAGCGGCTGTGGAGGGGACCAGTCACAGTCCTCGCTGTCTTGCTTTGACGTACGACCATAATTGTACTTTAGCTTTACATTCACAGTCTATAATTGGGCTCCATGTAAACGTCTCTTACTCTGTGGGTTTGTTGTTTGGGTTGATGGTTTTCACGGTCAGGTCTTTCAGGTCAGTGTGACTCGGTATAGAGGAAGAGATTTATAAAATGCAATAACTGTATAGAAAAGTAAATAAAAATAACAATAAAACTAAATAAACTAACTAAATAAAATAAATAATTTTGTAACAGGGCTTTACTTCTCTTTATGAAGTTAGTCTACGTTCAAACTGCAGCCTGAAGTGACCCAAATCTGAATTTTTTTGCTCCTATGTGACCTGTATCTGATCTTTTAATGACAATCTGAACGATACAGATCAGATTTTTTCAAATGTGACCCAGGACACTTGGATTTGTGCTCCTAAAACCGATGTATATCTGATCTTTTGACATGTGACTTCAGTCTGAACGGTCAGGTCACATTCATCCCACCTACACATCAGACTCTGAGTCTCGTCATTGGAGGGAAAGTGAGGTTAGTGAGTTTATTCATATTTTTGGGGATCGGAGTCTTATCAGAACCGGACGTTTTTTGAAATGATTGTCAAAGAAATGTCCAAGCACGGTTACAGACGGTCCTGGCTCCATTGTCAACGAAAAATAAAGAACCTGCGACACAAATACAAGGAGGACAAAGACTCAAACAAACGAAGCGGCTGTGGACGTGTAAGCTGAACATTTTACCAACAACTGGACCGGATTTTGAGAGACAAGCCCAGAGTTTAGACGACTTCCATAAACACAGAGCACGATCGTTGTGTGTGACGTCGTCGTGTCCTCCAATGCACATGCGGGACACTTTTGGGGCGTTTAAAGTTCACACTGGAGATCACACACAAGTCATTTTTAATTAGAAATGTGAGCGATCTCGCAAAAAAATTGGATTTCACCAAAAAATCCGAATTGAGCATTGAGCCCTGCAGTCAAATCCCAACACAACTTTGAATATTTTAATTTAAATTTGCTACAAACTCACCCACAACATTTCTTTTTCTTTTCTTTTTTTTACCACAAACCCAAGAGACATCTGTGGTCACGTTTGGGCTCTTATCTCTTCACACTAAAGTGTTCAAATAAAGCTGTACTGTGTGCACTCTTCAGGCAACACGTTGGCAAATACCTGTATATCTCGACTATACAGTGGCCTGACGTGGGTAGTACTCGGCTACATTTACTTTTACTCCTTCTTGAGTAATATTTTTATTGAAGTAACAGTACTACACATGAGAGAAGCTTTACGTTGAAAATATGAAATGATTTGAACATTCTCCTTCAGGTAGAGCTTGACAGTTACTCTTGAGTACTTTTCCCAAATACTTTTTTACTCCTACAATGTACTTCTGCTTGAGTAACATTATTTTGAAGTAACGTTGTTCTTACTTGAGTATATTTTTGGCCACTCTGCCCAGCTCTGATAGTGAGAGTTTTGTGCTGTCCCTGCAGTCTCTCTCTGGGACAGTGTTCGCTCTCGTGGACCCGCTCGTCTGGTTCGGGCTTCGGTCCAGATCCGGGTTGTTGGGTCAGTCTGTCTCCTGCGCTCGGGTCAAACAGCGGCAGACGGAGATATGAGGAGCTCTGCAGTTCAAACTCTGGACTGTACCGAACAATGGACCAGTGACACGTCCTGTTTACGTTAGAAGAGTTCACTGAATCTGAAGAGACTATAGAGACCTACACGTACAAAGAGCGAACAGAGAGGCCACTGGAACTCTGCCAGTGTAACGGCCACCGTCGGTCATGTTTGATCAGATATTAGGTTAAGAACACAAGAAAAAGTAGTTCATGAAAAGACTGCACAAAAATCAGATACACATTTTAACCTGACCTCATTGAAAAGAACTATTTCATAACAGCTGGCAGTTTCTTGCTGTAGGTTTGTGGAACTTCAGGTAAAAGGTTTTCTGTGGCAAAATGTGTGTGTAAATGTGTGTCGTATTCTCCAGCAGCTTCATAAATCTGCTCCATCACCAAATCTTCAACCAACAAGGTCCACAAAGGATAAACATTCTAACATGAACAATTTATCCACAACTATCAAGAGAAGAAAGACCAAAACTTAAAGGAAACATCGACCACACATTAGTGACACACTGAACAAAACTAATGTTATGGTCATGAATAAAACTGAAGGAACTTGTTCACTCTGATTCTGCAATTAAAATTAAAAATTGATGTCATGATGTCGATATTTGCATAGATAGATTTGTGCAGTTCGAATGGTTGAGCTCTAGTGTAAAGTTAGTTTTGCTCAGAACATAAAAGTAAATAAATGTGTGTCGTATTTTTCCAGCAGCTTCATAATTCTGCTCCATCACCAAATCTTCAACCAACAAACTCCACAAAGGATAAACATTCTAACATGAACAATTTATCCACAACTGTCAAGAGACGAAAGAGGAGAACTTAAAGGAGAACCACCACGATGCATTAGTGAACTACTACTGAGCCATGGATCTATAATAAAACATTAATAAGCCCCTCCCCCTCTATCCCTGCTCCAGACTGACTAGTGGTCGCTCCAGGTACTGCAGGTCCTGGGAGCTTGGGCCCAGAAAGAATTTTTCCTTAGATCGCAATGCATTTTTTGGGAATTCAAACTGTGTTCTGACAGGAGATCCAGCTTTCACAAAGTTCAGATTTTGTAGGATTTTTTACAATTTTCACAACATAAACTTCTTAAAAGTTTTAAATCTTCAAATTTCGTAAAAGTGATCTTTGTCAGACTTGGTCTCACTCTAGCAGCTCTCACTCTGATTTGTCCAAACATTCCAGACCGAGCACATCACACGTTACAGACGTCACACGGGTGGGAGGAGCTCGTCTGTATCCAGGAAGTAAATGTGGAAGAGAAAATCATTTTTGGGCTCATGAGGCAACGAGCACAGACCACTGAAAAGAACACGACGCCATCTTGGGTTCATTTTCAGATTCTAGTATCATTCTATGTTCTGAGCAAAATGTTAAGCTAGAGCTCTACCATTCGAACTGCACACATTTATCTATCTATGCTCATATTGAAATCATTAAATCAATTTTTTATTTTAACCCTCTCAGGCTCAAATTAATTTTTAGTATCAGGAAAAATCTGATATTTGGGGAAAATTATAATATGGGGTAGTAATATACAATCCTGACTTTTTTTATCCTTTGTAAACAAAAAAAGTATTTTGCACTTCTGGCAGGTCGTTTGCGTGTAGTCATTCTTGCACAGTCTGCATCGCCCATGTTTATCAGCACGGATGGGAGAAAAGGCTCCTGAGTAAAAAAAAGCTCATAAAATATGGATGTGGAGTAAGTAGGTAATTGGAATTTAGCTGTTGCAAATCTGCAACGCCTGCCTGGAGAGGGTTAATTGTAGAATCAGTCTGAGTGAACAAGTTCCTTCAGTTTTATTCTTGACGTTAGTTTGGCTCAGTTCACTAATGCGTTGTTGTTGTTCTCCTTTAAGTTTTCGTCTTTCTTACCTAAATTCTTCGTGTCAGAATGTTTATCCTTTGTGGACCTTGTTGGTTGAAGATTTGGTGATGGAGCAGATTTATGAAGCTGCTGGAGAATACGACACACATTTACACACACATTTTGCCACAGAAAACCATTAACCAGAAGTTCCTCAAACCTAAAGTGGAACACTTCCGGCTGTTGTGACAAAGGTCTACACTGCCAGATATTTGATTTATTGTTTTATCGCTTTATTGTTTATAGTCAATCATAAAACCTTTGGTTCAATAAGAAACCATCAATGAACTGACAAAACAACTAAAACCTTACAACCCGTCTACATACCACTAGAGAACTGGATCTTGACGTAGTTGATCCAGAACCAGAAGATTACTGTTCATTTTTGGTAATTGGTAATAAAATAAAGCGAGAGATACTTTATTTGAGTAAAATTCACATTTACATTTAGGGAAACAAAAGGGTCACTAGGGTCAGCTGCTTATTCCACATGTGGTATTAAAAGTACCTCGCATTTATTTAATTATTGGTGCATGTATTAGTTAAAAAAAACACCCTGAAAATATGCATTCTTACTGTGAGTTGGGGGTTGAAGGGCTGCCTCTCCACTGATCTGACATGTAACTCAAGATTAGATTAGTTTAATGTCATACCATGAAACACTAAGTTCAAAATTCACATGTCATGCATAAAACCAGGGGTTAAAAGAATGAAAAGTAAAAGTTTGTGGTCAAACCTTCACCAGAAAAGTTGCAGCTTTAGTTCAAACTGTCCTCGTCTAAATCGTCCGTCGTGTCCCTCAGGTCCCGTTCGGCACAGAGACCGACGGCATGAACATCCTGGGCCTGGTGCTGTTCGCCATGGTGTTCGGCGTCGCTCTGAGGAAACTGGGCGAGGAGGGGGAGGAGCTCATCCGCTTCTTCAACGCCTTCAACGAGGCCACCATGGTCCTGGTCTCCTGGATCATGTGGTCAGTGTCTGGTCTCCATCTACCACCACGATGAGACGGTTTATTTACTGTAATGTCCAGATGATAAGCCACTATTTTTTTTCTCAGACTTTAAACCCTGCGAATTATACAACGATGTGGCGAATATATGGACGCATTATTTGTTTATGAAGATTGCAGATGCTCGCAGTCTGAGTGCAGAAAGTGCCGCTGTCTCTAAAACAGTTTATCGCTGTGTGATAAAAACAGTTTTAATGCTAAATGAACATTAGTGAGTGGGATACGTCTTAATGACCCGTATGTGTTAAATGCAGGTGAGTGCGTAAATGACAAGAAGAAACGTATCAAACTTCAGTAGCTGGACATCCACTCACACCTGATCGTCACACCTATAATCCCGTCGTAATCCTGTCGTTTTACTGCCGTGTTACAGACACCGTTTGGAAAAAGCATGTACCAGTATTTAATTAGAATAAAATAAAAAATCTTTCTGTGTAAAAATCTCAAGTTACAACGTGGACACCTGTGGCTTATAGTCAAGTGCGGCTTATATATGTACACTTTTTTTTCACTAACCAGGACCACACCAACGACAACATAGCGCAAACAAGTTTATTGATAATGTACGAAGCGAGGCAGAGATGGCTGGGTTGAGACTATGGGTGGAGGCTCCGTCTAAATCTTCAGTTGGCCCAGCCGGAACGGGACCCCCCTCGTAGGCGTCTTATGACTGAAAGATGAACGAAATAGCCGAGTCAAACTGGGATGATGGGAAAGGCTGCTACAAATAGGCTTCTGGGACATTAGAGGCGTGGTCGAGGTGAGAGGAGAGGGCGGCTGAGGCGTGGTCCTGCTCCTGAATCTCACTTAATCATATTAACTACATTTCTTTTAAGATGTAGTTGATGCGTCTTATATTCAGGTATGCTCAATAGTCTGGAATTACAGTATTTATTGTTTATGGGGTTTTTTTTGTTTTTTTTTTTTTCATTTTTAAACATTTTCAGAAGAATTGACCAAAAGACTGAAATCTGAACGGACAAACTAATACAAGAATCACATTTCAGAACACACAGCACAAAACACGTACAGATCTAAACATCCACAGGGTTAGCAGTTTTCTACAGATTAAGACAGGAGATTTATTTGTTTTATTATATTTATATTAATACTTTGCAGCTGATGTCGTCATATTCTCTTCTGTGTCTGAGGCTTTATTAGACTTTTACACAGTCTAACCACAAAGAGCTGATTTGTGCTGTTAAAGAAACCCCTCGCACATAAAATTACAAGGTCATTTCACGCCAAATCTACATTTTTTTCAGTCAAATCTGAGATCGTCGGGCGGGGACATTCGGAGATTTGGGCCAACAGCTTTTTAGTTAGTCACTCTCACCTTTTTGTAGATATTGGAGTATCCAGACGTCCCTATTTACCCAGGATAGTCCAAGTTTTGAGCTCTGTGTCCCCTGTCCCAGCAGATTTATCCAAAAGCAGTGATTTGTCCCAGTTTTATACAAGAAATGTCCCAATTTTTGACCAATCTGATCCCTGACAACAGTAAAAAGAGGAATACACTGTCATTTGTTTAGGTAAAATACATAAAACCTACTTAAAAATTACTAAAACATTTAAAAAAGTGACTATACCGACTCTCATGTTCGTCATGAATGAGCCAAGTGCAACAATTTTCCTTCATTACGCACTCGAGTCACAGTTTTATTATCATCAACCACCAAAAAACAGGGATGTTCCAGTTTTTTATTTAGCAAATTTGGTCACCCGACTTTTCGTTGAAATCTAAAACAGCACCATGAACGCTCAGACTAAACAGAAGCTCCTAAAATGTGCCGTTTAAATCCATTTTGTATTTTTTTTCTTGAGTTTTCAGACATTTAAAAAACCTTTTGTGTGTGTGTGTGTGTCAGGTACATCCCGTTCGGCATCATGTTCCTCGTGGGCAGTAAGATCGTGGAGATGGAGGACGTGGTTTTGTTGGTGACCAGTTTGGGGAAGTACATCTTCGCCTCGATCCTGGGGCACATCATCCACGGCGGAATCGTGCTCCCGCTCATCTACTTCGGATTCACTCGGAAAAACCCCTACAGCTTCCTGTCCGGCCTCATCACGCCCTTCACCACCGCCTTCGCCACCTGCTCCAGGTCTGAGACGGCTCCCAAACACTTCACCTGCAGAAGGAACAGTGATAAACATTACACTAGGAGACATTTCAAAAGATACCGTATTTTTCGGACTATAAGGCGCACTTACAATTCTTTAATTTTCTCAAAAATCAACAATGCGCCTTATGTATTAATTCTGGTTGTGTTTACTGACCTCAAACTGATTTTCTGTGGTCCACGGCGCTCAAAAATCTGTCAGAATGTTTTAGTTTGAAGGATTGTCGGAGAATTACGGCTGCTGTAGTCAGGAGCCTCGCGTGTTCTTTAGTCTGACAGAAGCTGAACCTCATCAGTGCACAAGGAGTGAGCTGTTTTTTTTCAGCGCTTATAGTTTATGCAAATTAGTCATGTGGTTTTAAGTTTAGTTTCTGTAAAACGTAAACAAATGTGTCAAAGCTGCATTAAACACATTATTACTCAGTGTATATTTGAGTCATCCTCGTAGGAAATAAAAAAAAAACAAACTTAAATGATCCACCCACATGCACCAAGACAGGGAGGTAACGCCGGGCAAATTACACCACGATTCTTTACTTTCTGTAACTAAAAACGGTGAAATCTTTCCGGATTTGCACCCATAAATGTACAGAAGTTATGACAGCGAGCAGGGGTCTCCAAGCTTTTTCCTCCGGAGAGCTAACTTTACAAAACAAACATGTCAGAGAGCTACTCGTTTTAATGACAGTAAGAAATTGAGATGATTAAAAGAAAGAAGGTGAGTGTTGGGGTACAGTTAATGTCCATAAAACATAAACCATTGTCCATTTATTAGTGCACAAAGTTGGGCCTCAAAATGACACAGTAGTAATAGTCTTGTAGTTAACCACATTTTTGTTATTCAGCCCAATGGTATAATTCAGAAATCTCTTGGTGAGCTGCTTGGAAGAGGGTGGAGCTACAGGTTGGAGACCCCTGATATAGAGCATTTACCTCCAAACCCAAAGTTTGGTGGTTGGATCCCAGCTCAGTCCAGAGTTTACTTCCAATATGTCCCTTTTGTGGTGGTTTTGTTTGTGGTTTTGATTCCAGTCCACACAATCTGATATCTGTTTTCTTATAAGGTTTTACGGCGCACTCTTAAACCAAAGGAAGACCTCATGAACTTTGTCCCAGACTGACTGTTTGTGCTGTTTGTTTTTATGACACTCGCTGCAGACTTTAAAGCGGCTTATCTTAAATCAGGGGTCATCAAACAAAGGCCCGCGGGTCGACTCCGGCCGTCACGCCCCTTTGACCGGGGCAATCCTCAAAAGTGTCAATGGCCTATTTATTTATTTTTTTTTATTACTTTTTGGCAAATAATAACACGTGTGCATCTTGTATTTTGTAGATTTTTTTTTTTTATTATTTAAAAATGATATTTATATGAAGTATTTATATTTAACTAATTATATCATTTATTTACATTTGCCGCCGAATTTTCGTCACCTGACAAACTCGAGATCAAACACACATGCAGAGTTCTGTAGTGCAGTTAAGGACAGAAAAATGGCTCATGTTAAAGTACAAAAACTTGACAGAGAGTGGCAAGTTTTTAAAGAACAGTGGACGACCGATAATTTTTTTCTTCAGTGTAAGGACTGTTGTTGGAGCCAGTTTATATTTATCTAAGAAATTATGAATTTGACGAATTTAAACAATATTAAAATGCATTTTTCTTATTATAGAATTTAGTATTTTAGGTCATCCTGGTCTCCTCCCCCCTCCTCCTGCAGTCAGGTTTATCTGCCCCTGGAGAAGAGGACAGACACTGTTTTGTGACCAGTGTTGTGGAGTAACAGATTACATGTACCGGAGTTATGTAATCAGAGTACAAATTATGAGTAACTGTATTCAGTTACAGTTACTGTTTCAGTGAGTGGTAATTGGATTACAGTTACTTGGTTGAAATAAATGGATTACACAGAGGGATTTAACTGTTTTCACATTTTGGGCTGTATCCTTTTTTTTTTTTTTTTTCGGTAATTCCACTCATTGCCGGGCACTAAAACCAGGACTAAAACCAGGTCTAAACCAGGATTAAACCAGGATTTAACAGGATTTGAACAGGACTAAATCCTGCTGTGTGGACGTGTCTCCTCTTCTTCTATCAATAATATTTTTAATTTGGTTCAGTAAAGTCTGGACTTTTTTATTTTCTTTTAGCAAACAAAACTTCTTATGTGAAGATTTCCTCGTCTTTGCTTCTCTACAGCAAATCAAGTAATCCAAAGTATTCAGATTACATTACTCACTTTAAGTAATTTAATGGATTCTGTTACAAACTACATTTTGGGATATGTAATCTGTAATCTGTAGGGGAATACAGTTTAAAAGTGACCTTCCCAACACTGTGACCACACTAAATTGCTAAAAGTCAACCACAGAGAATATTGTATTTTTGTTCTTTAAAATAAATGGACAAAGGCAATTTCTGGATCTCCGTGAGTTACAAACCTCCTCAAGCAAAAAGGCCACAACAACTGTGCCATTTATCCGATGTGTAAAGAAAGTGTGGAGGTTTTTAAAGAATATAATCTGCGTCGTCAGGGTCATACAATTCTGTTAAACGGCCGCGACCATCACAGTCAGGAGCGATAGATAATGTGGCCCCCAGAGAAAAAAAGTTTGATGACCTCTGTCTTAAACTGTCCTTTTGTCTTTTTGTCCTTTTGGTCTCAGCTCGGCGACCCTGCCCTCCATGATCAAGTGCGTGGAGGAGAATAACGGGGTGGACAAACGCATCAGTCGCTTCATTCTGCCCATCGGAGCCACGGTCAACATGGACGGAGCGGCCATCTTCCAGTGCATCGCCGCCGTGTTCATCGCCCAACTCAACAACCACCAGCTCAACGCCGGAGAGATCTTCACCATTCTGTGAGTCGGGAAATCACTAATGAACGTATCTATCATTCATTCAATGGTTTTTCAAAATAAAACCAAAAATAAGAAATAAAAACAACTGCTATTTTCTTCATTATTTGTCTCCAAAACAAAAATGAAAAAAAGATATTGATTTGTTTTTTCAGTTTTCGATTTTATGTTTAAATGAAAAATGGAAAAAAAAAAAAAAAGTTTCCCGTTTACCTAACTTAAACTGCCACGCTGGACTGAACCAGGACTAAACCAGGTCCGGGACCAGAACGGAACTAGACCAGGATTGAGACCAGGACTTAGACCGGGACCAGACCAGGACTGAGTCTGGGACCAGACCTGGAACAAGACCCAGACAGGGACCAGACCAGAACTGAGAGACTGAGAGCGGGACTGAGAGCGGGACTGGGACCAGACCAGGACTGAAAATGATTTAGTCCTATTTTAGTCCTGGTTCAGTCCGTATTTGGCGCAAAAGTCCAGCATCCGTTTTTTCCATTCTTCATTTAAACACAAAATCGAAAAAAACGAATCATCTGTTTTTTGTTGTTTTGGTTTTTTTTGGTTTTGGAGACAAAAAATTAGGAAAACAGTTGTTTTTTTTTTCATTTTAAACTTTTCAGAACTTACCGAGAACTTGTACTTGATATTTTCTCATGTATTTGAGCAAAATGTGTCTTGCGTCAGTACTTGGATTGTTCCAATACCGGCTCTGATACTGCACATTTTTCAGGTATCTGCAGACACTTAAGCCCTATTTACACGGGATAAGTACAACCTATGGACGTCTGGTAATTTGCAAATTACCGCCTCACCTTTGTGTTACTTCAGCACATTTGCATGGGATTGGCAAAGTCCGTAAATGACTATTTTACTGACACTGACTGAGACTGAAAAAGAAAAGAACCTGGAAAGAAAAAAGATAGAAAAGCTGCAATTACAACAACAAACACAGAGATGCAGATTCGCATGGGACTAGTTTTATCATCGGACGTCTGTGTTTGGCGAAATATAATAGGTAATTTGAGGTTGAATTTTTACTTCACAATTTACAGACATGACACATTTGCACGGGGTTAAGATCTCAGACATCCTCCGCAATTATTACAAATCACCAAAGGTCCCCAGGTAAAACTAATCCAGTGCGAACAGGGTCATAATAACACAAAGTACATGTGTGTTTCCTCTTTGACTCCTTCATTTAGCCTTTAATGTGGACACTGAAAAATACCTGGGAGACTGCAGCAGCAACAGCGGCAAAAGCTCTAACTCCGTCTTTGTTTCCTCTGCAGAATGATCCATGTGCTCTGAGGATGAGCGTCTTTTTACAGGTCTCACTGTTGGTTTTGTCTGCACCATGGCTGAAAGTGAAAGTGCTTAAATCAGCACTGCTTATGTCAAGATCATTAAGATTTTGAGAACTAAAATATTAGTGAAATGTGTGTTTATTTTTGCGTTTCTTTAAAAATAGCCTTGCAGAAGATAATTTTTTTGCACTTGTATGTTACAAAATAAAGTAACCTAAAGGCCTGTTCAAACTGGGGCATCATGTCTATGTGGACACGCGACTAGGGCGTCTTGCGTTTTTGCGGTGCGTCTTTGGGCATCAGTGCAGTGCAAATCCGCGGCGCGTCTTGAGCATTCTAGCGTCAACGCTTTAGACGCGCAATCCAGGGTGTCAGTGTCAGAAGTTGAAAATTCTGAACTTTTTACGTCAGATGCGCCACGTCAACCAATCACAGACAAGTATCCAGTGACATAGCGACATTATTATCAGGAAGAAAGAGAAAGACCCAAAAACCAGAGTGCGAGTCACAAACATTAATGGAGCATAAATATATACACGCTGCAAGCACCAAGCCGATCGCCAGGACTGGACCAGGACTAGACCAGGACTACTCCAGGACTACTCCAGGACTACTCCAGGACTACACCAGGACTACTCCAGGACTACACCAGGACTGATCCAATGTCATTAGTAGAGTATTCATATATATACTAGGGGTGTCAAATTATCGCGTTAATTGCGATTAATTAATACAGCATATTTAGCGCGTTATGTTTTTAATCGCGTTAATCTAATTTTTAAATCTCTAACTTTACTGTTTCTGTATGCGAGTTGCTTTATTATAAAACCTGTTTTTATGTGTTGTTGGGACAACAGCACACACACACACAAAAAAAACACACGCAGTAAGAGCGATGTAAATGTCACATTGGCGGCGTCAGTCGCACAATGGACGAGGTCGAACAGCCAGTAGAACAGAGTCAGCAGTGCACAGGTAAAAACACATTCGTGTTTTGGAAATTATTCTCCCGACGTGAAATATAAAAGAAAATAACAAATATACGCCTACAACTTAAATGTCACTGGTGAAAACAACCTGCATAGACTCATGATGTCTGCACTACTGTCCTATAGTGACCTGCCACATGAGGGGACACGCACACAGGACACACACAAACACAAACACAAACACAAACACACACCTTCATCATCGTCATTAACCTGAGAACGCGCGGACCACGTTTCCTTCCGTAGTTACTGCGCGGACACCGACCTGCTCCCGTGAGCCGCGTGTGGATCGTGTTTTCTCGTGTACGCTGCGTAAACCGCGCTTCCTCCTGTGCGCCTCTAAACCAGAACTAACACCAAGACTAAAACCAGGACTAATCCAGTCCAGGACTAAACCAGGTCTAAAAGTTTATTATGTTCAGATTTCCTCGTCTTTGCTACTTTACAGCAAACAGTTTCTTATTCCATGGCGACTTGGGCTCAACAGCCAAATTGAAGAGATTTGTTGAACAATAAATGACTTTATAAAGTCACTTTTTTAAATCTATATCAGTCTTTTGATCTGCCACAATAATGTAATAATGAATTTAAATGAAAAATACCTCAAATTGAAGGCTTTTCTCAGCAATTTTTAGGTGAGATTAAAATGAGATTAATTAGATTAATTAATTACAGATCATATTAATTAGTCCTCAATTTTTTTAATCGCATGACAGCACTAATATATACGCCGCAGTCATCGAGTCGATCTCCTCTGCTGATGGTTTTATGTAATAAAAACACTAAAGTCTCTCAGTCTGGTCTGACATTGTTCCAGAAAAGGACTGGACAGGGCACTTGTTTCCATGGCAACGGACAGGCATCAAGTATTTTTCTCCTGTTCATCCACTGTGTCCAAAACGCACGTCGGGAACGTCTGAACTCCAATGCAAAGGCGTCCAAATAGAGGCATCATGGGCGTTTTTTGATGCCGCTGTCTGAACAACAAGAATAAGTGTACTTCTTCACACTGTGGTATCGGGCTGTTATCGGTATCGGCGAGTACACAAAAGCCAAGTATCGGTATCGGATTGGTTCCCCCCCCAAAAAATGGTATCAGAACAACACTGCTCAGTAAAGAAATATTTTAAAAGCAGCTCTTAGGGTCAAAACATGAACGTAATTATTATTTTTTGTTTAATTGAAGAAGTAGTGATGTTATAGTGCTGTTATAACAAACATTCCACTCTGACCTCTGAAAATATGAAACATGCTCTTAAAATCACCGGTCGCCTCTCCCTGTCCTCCGTCTCTCCTCAGAGTGACGGCCACAGCGTCGAGTGTTGGAGCGGCCGGGATCCCCGCTGGAGGAATCATCACCATCGCCATCATCCTGGAGGCCATCGGGCTGCCCACCAACGACCTCTCCCTCATGCTCGCCGTCGACTGGATCGTGTGAGTGCAACACGCTCATTTTCACTGCATCGTCACCTGTCACCTTTTATACCAGATGCCCTTCCCGTCACAAACATCTACGTCACTGTTCAGATCATTACAGTCAGAGTTTTACCAGCATGAACAGACTTTCAACTTTTATGTTTTACTTCATTTTAAAAGACGAATATTAACATTATAATGTCACCAGCTGAAACCACAGACTGTGATATAAACACACATAGGTAACTCTCTAGTTTTCATGTTTTCAAAATGAAGTGAACATGGACGTTTCAGTCCAGGTTTAGTCCTGTTTTAGTCCAGTTTTAGTCCAGGTTTAGTCCAGGTTTAGTCCAGTTTTAGTCCAGGTTTAGTCCAGTTTTAGTCCAGGTTTAGTCCTGTTTTAATCCTGGTGTAGTCCTGTTTCAGTCCAGGTTTAGTCCTGTTTTAATCCAGTTTTAGTCCAGGTTTAGTCCAGTTTTAATCCAGTTTTAGTCCAGGTTTAGTCCTGTTATAGTCCAGGTGTAGTCCTGTTTCAGTCCAGGTTTAGTCCTGTTTTAGTCCAGGTTTAGTCCTGTTTTAGTCCAGGTTTAGTCCTGTTTTAGTCCAGGTTTAGTTCTGTTTTAGTCCGTCGTTTTTAATCAGTTTTTTTCCCCGCTGTAGCACCAGTGAGTGTCACTACGTCAACTGGAGGCAGATACAAGCAGCAACAACCTCCACTTATTTTAATAGATCCATGTTATATATTTGTACTGATAAAATGGAAATGATACATTTTCTGGACCCAGGCAAAGGAGTTGATGGCACAGCCCATATCGAGCCATGGAAAGAAAACATAAAACACACATAATATCGGACATTTCTGAAGTATGGACTATATGTAATTTACTTTTTATTTTTTTATTTTTCTTTTCTAGTGACCGCACCACTACAGTCGTGAACGTAGAGGGCGACGCGCTGGGAGCCGGGATCCTGCACCACATCAACGAGCAGGAGCAAAAGAAGCTGCAGCACCCGGAGGACCAGAGGCACCCGGAGGAGCTGCAGGAGGTGCGGGTGGAGGCCGTGGCGAACACTCAGGCCCAAGAGGAAACGTCTCCCCTCGTCACCCACCAAAACCTGAGCCAGGAGGGGGCGCCGGAGGCCATCGAGTCTGTGCTCTGAACACTGTTTACACAAATAAGTCCCAGTCCAGTCTCTGTGTTCTCGGGTTTGTGCGACGTGAAGGTTTGACCAGTTTTACTCCGGTGTTCTGTCAGCTCACACGTCACCAACAAAACAACCCAACAGTTTAAGGAAATCTAAACTTTTTTTAGGCACCTTAATCCGTGTGTCATTTGTTTATGTTTTTCAAAATAAAACCAAAAATAAGAAAACAAACAAAACAAAAAAAAAAACTATTTTCTTCATTATTTGTCTCCAAATCCAAAATAAAAAAACAGATAATGATTTTGTTTTTGATTTTGTGTTTAAATGAAAAATGGAAAAATCGGATAAAGGCCGTTTCCCGTTTCTGTGACTTAAACTGTGATGCCGGACAGAACCAGGACTGAACCAGGACTGAACCAGGACTGAACTAAGACTAAACCAGGACTGATCCAGGACGGGCTAGAGGTGTGGCTGCGTCGGGTGATCAGGACAGAGAGCGGGACCAGACCGCGGCTGAGACCAGGACTCAGAGTGGTTTAGTTTTAGTTTTAGTCCTGTTTTAGCCCAGGTTTAATCCTGTTTTAGTCCTGTTTTAGTCCTGGTTTAGTCCAGGTTTAGTCCTGTTTTAGTCCAGGTTTAGTCCTGGTTTAGTCCAGGTTTAGTCCAGGTTTAGTCCTGTTTTAGTCCTGTTTTAGTCCTGTTTTAGTCCAGGTTTAGTCCTGTTTTAGTCTAGGTTTAGTCCTGTTTATTCCAGGTTTAGTCCAGGTTTAGTCTTGTTTTAGTCCTGGTTTAGTCCAGGTTTAGTCTTGTTTTAGTCCAGGTTTAGTCCTGGTTTAGTCCTGGTTTAGTCCTGGTTTAGTCCTGTTTTAGTCCTGGTTTAGTCCAGGTTTAGTCCTGTTTAGTCCTGTTTTAGTCCAGGTTTAGTCCAGGTTTAGTCCTGTTTTAGTCCAGGTTTAGTCCTGTTTTAGTCCTGTTTTAGTCCAGGTTTAGTCCTGTTTTAGTCCTGTTTTAGTCCTGTTTAGTCCAGGTTTAGTCCTGTTTAGTCCAGTTTTAGTCCTGTTTAGTCCCAGGTTTTAGTCCAGTTTAGTCCAGGTTTAGTCCTGTTTTAGTCCTGTTTTAGTCCAGGTTTTAGTCCAGGTTTAGTCCAGGTTTAATCCGCCGTTATCCGTTTTTTCCATTACTCATTTAAACACAAAATTGAAAACTGAAAAAACAAATCCTAAGTTTTTCATTTTGATTTTGGAAACAAACCATGAAGAAAACTGTTTTTTCATTTTCTTATTTTTGTTTTAATATTGAAAATGAATAAACAAACGATACACAGATTCATCTCGTCCAGGGTTGGGACTTAATGTTCTGTTGAGATCATGACATGTTTTTATATTCACCTGCTTTCATTGCCTGGTCTAAAAATCAGATTTTTGAGAAAACAACTTGAATTTAGACCTAAAACTAAACCAAAAACACATCCAGCTTTTCTTTGACTTTCCTTTGATGCATCAGAGGCTGTGATCACACTAAGCCCCGCCCCTGGACGATTTGCGAATTAAGGAAGATGCTTTTTTTAATTTAAACTTTTATTTAGTGTAGATATAAACGGTCCAATGAAGTTTACCTTAACCACGAGATCAAATACGTGAATGAAACCACTAAACGTTTTTATTTTAAACAATCTTAAATCTTGGCTTGTTCTCGTGGAGCCAATCTCATCTGGTTTTGTGAGAATTTGTCCCAATATTATGTTTTAAAGTGTTTATTTTGAGCTGCTTTTATGATAAATCTGTATTTGGGGCGAGACACATTTTGCTCAAAAACATAAAAAATCAGGTTCAGACCCTTTAAGTGAAACTATTCGACTGTTCCCCCTCTGACCTTCGAGAAAATCGCTCTTTTATTGGAGCCGTGAATGAGATTTCGGACACTTCCGGGGCCCGGTGCCAGACTGGACTTGAGATCAGACTGTGCCAAATCTCTCTCTGGTCGTTCTGCTGTTCCCCAAAAATCACATGAATCTAAACCGTGGATCCACCGACGAGCTGCGAGTCTCAGTGACATTATGTAGTGTTCCCCTGGTGGTCGCTTTCTGTACTGCGTTATTGAGGTCGGTAATTCCTGGGTTTCGTCCAACATTTTGAAGACTTTGACCCAATCAGAAGATCTAATATTTAGTTTTAAATAGTTTATCACGATGAAAACAGTCCCAATTTTTCATCATTCTGAAACCCAGGGATACGAGCCTTGACGAGGACGAATGGTGCGTTTGATTATCCATGCGTCTCCCACTCGGATCTCGGATATGACGTCATGTCCACCCTGCAAGCGTTTTGTTATGTTTCGTGTGTTAACCGTCTAAATGAATCGACATTTAACATCTAATGCGCTAGCTGCTCCGTTCTGATTTTGCGTGTCAGAGTTGAAGAAAACGTGGACGCCAACCAGAAATATTGTTGTTGTTTATCTTCTTTTACGAACTCTAGGGATGTTTAGCAACACCTGTTTAAAACAAGTTTTTGTGCAATATTTGCCTCTCCGCAAAACCGACCGCCGCAAAACCGACTACCCCAACGCCGACCGTTTCGACGCCGACCACCGCAACACAGACCGCCATAACGCCGACCTCCTTGACACGACCACCACACCACGGACCGCCGGAACACTGATCGCTTCAACACGGACCTCCACAACACCGACCGCTGCAACACTGACCATTTCAACACGGACGGCCACAACACCGACCACCGCAACACCGACCACCGCAACAACGACTGTTTCAACACCGACCACCGCAACACGACCACTGCACGACCACCACCGCAACACCAACCGCCAACACGACCACCGCAACACCGACCGTTTCAAACACCGACCACACACCACCGACCACCGCAACACAACGACTGTTTCAACACACCGACCACCGACACCGACCACCACAAACACCGACCACTCAACACGACGCACAACACGACCACAACACCGCACCACCGCAACAACACAACCACCAACACACCCAACCACCAACACCGACCACCACAACGACCCATTTCAACACGACGCCACAACACCGACCACCGCAACAACGACTGTTTCAAACACCACCACACCACCACACCACCACCACCACAACACCGACCACCAAAATGACCTTCAACACGACCGCCACAACACCGACCACCGCAACACCGACCGTTTCAACACCGACCGTTTCAACACCGACCACCGCAACACCGACCGTTTCAACACCGACCACCAAACCCACAGACAGTGATATGGACGCAGTAAGATATTGCAATAATACAGATGACTGAAAATGACATTTAAACCGAAGTGTCCAAACACCAACAACAGAACAGTTCATACTAAAAGTGACACTGGGCGGATTCTGTCTCTGAATCCTTACTCGGTCTCGTCTGAGTTCTTCTGAGTTCAGCCGGAAAAGGAAAGGCCCTGGGACCTCCGATAATCGGATGATGGATAATCGAACGCACCATAAACCTTCGTCTTAGTGAGGACCTTAAACTGCTGATCTAAATGGACAGAGCTCACCCGCCTGCTGCTGCGTTCCATGTAGGAAGAGAGCATGGCTTCTGGCTCCATCGACTCTAGCTCTAATTTACTTTCTACTGTAAGAGCGTCGTCCCTCTCTCTATAACTGCTGCTGTCAGGCTCCTCATTTTGGTCATAAAATGTTCATATTAACTCGCTCTACGTGACCCTGGGGTTTTTATTTTGATATTTTGGTCTGTAAACTGGGGCGGCAGAAGTTCAGCTGGTAGAGTTTGTCCACAGATCCAGAGGTTGGCCGTTCGAATAAATCGCTCGACATAAAAAACATCACAGGTTGGCGATGCGATTCTAGCTCCCAAGGATGAATGCTGTCGTTGTGTCCTTGGGCAAGACACTTAACCCACCTCGCCCCTCGTGTCTGCGTACACTGGTGTATGAGTTTGTGTGAATGTGTGACTGGTTCCTTGTTGTAAAAGCGCTTTCAGTGCCTTAAAGGTGGAAAAGTGCTGCATGAAGTGACCATTTACCATAAATTAAATCCTATTTTAATACAGAACTCGGCTCCAAATTCACCGTCAGACTGCCTGCCCGTCTGTGGTCACACTGTGCATCTTTAACTTGGCCTAATTTAAGACTAAACTCTGGGTCTAATATAAAGTCTAAAAGTCTACGTTCAGACTGCAGGGCTTAACGCTCAATTCGGATTTTTTGTGAAATCCGATGTTTTTGTGAGGTCGTTCACATTTTCAAGTTAAATGTGACTTGTATGTGTCTCCAGTGTGAACATTAAACGGCCCAAATGTGTCCTGCATGTGACACTGGAGACACGACGACGTCAACCGCAGCGAGCGTCTCTGTGTTTACAGAAGTTGTCCAAACATGGACGCAGCATCGAGCACCTGGAGATTTTAAAGTTCCTCTCGAACCGGAGCCAGAACATGAACAACTTACTTGTTTTAAGGAGGAGATTGAGAAGGAGAAGGACGAGGTTTTTGGTCGTGGTGTTTTGTGGTTCAGTCCGTTGAAAGGAACGTGTGGATGTGGAGACGGAGCCAAGAGTGGTGAGTGGAGATGTGCTTCACTTCAGTCACACAGAGTTCATTAACAATTTTCTCCTACTTCAGCGCAGAATAGTGACGTTTGTGTCTTGTTGATAACGTGTAGGTGGATGAATGCACTTTGGCCGTTCAGACTGAAGTCACATGTCAAAAGATCAGATATGTATCAGTTTCAGGAGCACATATCCAAGTGTCCTGGGTCATATTTGAAAAAATCGGATCTGTGTGGTTCAGACTGACATTAAAAGATCAGATACAGGAACATAGGAAGCCAAAAAATCTGATTTGGGTCACTTCAGGTGCAGACTGAACTCCTAAAACTGATACATATCTGATCTTTTGACATGTGACTTCAGTCTGAACGGCCAAAGTCCATTCATCCACCTACACGTTATCAACAAGACACAAACGTCACTATTCTATTATAATTCACGAAAATTGTTAATGAACTCTGTGTGACTGAAGTGAAGCACATCTCCACTCACCACTCTTGGCTCCGTCTCCACATCCACACGTTCCTTTCAACGGACTGAACCACAAAACACCACGACCAAAAACCTCGTCCTTCTCCTTCTCAATCTCCTCCTTAAAACAAGTAAGTTGTTCATGTTCTGGCTCCGGTACGAGAGGAACTTTAAAATCTCCAGGTGCTCGATGCTGCGTCCATGTTTGGACAACTTCAGTGTCACATGTGGGACACTTTTGGGCCGTTTAATGTTCACACTGGAGTCACATACAAGTCACATTTAACTGGAAATGTGAACGACCTCGCAAAAACATCGGATTTCACAAAAAAATCCGAATTGAGCGTTAAACCCTGCAGTCTGAACGTAGTGTAAGATTAAATGATCCGCGGTCGTTATTTCCTCAGCAGGTTCTTCTGTGATTATAATGTGTGACAATTTAAATGTGATTTCTTACATTCCCAAAAATATCCTACTCGTACTGTTCTTTAGATTTTATTTAGACATAGTTTTTATCAGACAGCAAACAATGTCGCCAGTGTTGTAGGCCGACTTTTTAACATAGTGTAATTTTTGTATTTCGGATTTTAGATCTTTTCAGATTTTAAGATTTAATCAGAGTTTTAAACCCAGGACCCAGTGGCCCTGTGTGTCCTTCAGTGTTTACAGACGCACTATCTGCTCCTCCCAGATCACGTCAAAGATTAACTTTCCAGACGTCACACTCGGAATCTGGCCCATTTTTCTCTTTGGACGACGCTCCAAAATCCCACTCACGCAGACGACCTTTGAACTCGTCTCAAATGGAGCTTTTACCTGTGTCCTTATGTAAATAAAACATCTACACCCACTTAACTTTCAAACTGAAAATCCCCCAAAATATAGATTCTTTCAATTTACCAGAAATGTAGAAATGTGTATTCATGTTTTTTACGCTGAATAGGCTGCGATCATGTGACGTCTTTACATTCTAATCTGCTGACAGTGTTGGGAAGGTGACTTTTAAAATGTAATCCCCTACAGATTACAGATTACATTCCCCAAAATGTAGTTTGTAATGTAATCCATTAAATTACTTAAAGTGAGTAATGTAATCTGAATACTTTGGATTACTTGATTTTCTGTAGAGAAACAAAGACTCGGACATCGTAACGTAAGATGTTTTGTCTGATAAAAGAAAATAAAAAGTCCAGACTTTCCTGAACCAAATAAAAAATATTATTGATAGAAAAGAAGGAGACACGTCCACGCGGCAGGATTTAGTCCTGTTAAATCCTGGTTTAGTCCTGGTTTAGTCCTGGTTTAGTCCTGGTTTAATCCTGGTTTAGACCTGGTTTTAAATCCTGGTTTAGACCTGGTTTTAATCCTGGTTTAGACCTGGTTTTAGTCCTGGTTTAGTCCTGGTTTAGTCCTGGTTTTAGTCCTGGTTTAGACCTGGTTTTAATCCTGGTTTAGACCTGGTTTTAATCCTGGTTTAGACCTGGTTTAGACCTGGTTTTAATCCTGGTTTAGACCTGGTTTAGACCTGGTTTAGACCTGGTTTAGTCCTGGTTTAGACCTGGTTTATCCTGGTTTAGTCCTTGGTTTAAATCCTGGTTTAGTCCTGACCTGTTTTAGACCTGGTTTTAATCCTGGTTTAGACCTCCTGGGTGGTTTAGACCTGGTTTAGACCTGGTTTAGACCTGGTTTTAATCCTGGTTTAGACCTGGTTTAGACCTGGTTTAGACCTGGTTTAGACCTGGTTTAGCGTCCGGCAATGAGTGGAATTACCGAGAAAAAAAAAAAAGGGATTTAGCCCAAAATGTAAAAACAGTTAAATCCCTCTGTGTAATCCATTTATTTCAACAAAGTAACTGTAATCCAATTACCACTCACTGAAACAGTAACTGTAACTGATTACTTAACTCTGGTACATGTAATCTGTTACCCCCAACACTGTCTGCTGTTTTTTTACAATGAACAAAAACTGACACAAAGTTGAATGTCTCTGTCAGTGTCGATTCTTTTAGAGGTAAAATTATACAATGATCATAGAATTAAAAAATGGGGACATTGTTGGACCAATCGAACAAACAATTATAAGGTTCAACATTTGTGGATTTGTTTATTTCTTTGATATTTCTTTGACTCTCGTCGCCTCCATGTGAAATCTTGAAGTTCTCGGACGTCGTGGCACATTTTAAAGTATTTGTTTTCTCCACAGCCTCTGGTTGAACTTGAAAACGGCCGTTTGCTTTAGCTCCTGTTGATAAGAATTTAAAGACTGTTTTAAATGTGACTCTGATGTTGAGAGGAGAGAACCACTGCTTCAAATGAGTCTTTCTTTGTTTTATACAGTGAGGGAAACTTGTATTTCACCTGTGATGTTCTCTGTTGGGATGCACCGAGTCTCTGCTGGTGTTGGATTTCAACGCCGATGCTGAAGCTTCCATATATCGGTTCATTCGATATCCTTTTTGGACAGATACTTTAGTGTAATAAGATTATTTCAGATTATCGTCAGCCCAGAAAGTCTGAGAATGTTTGAATTTAGTTTAGTTTAGAAATTTTGATCACTGAGGGGCAATTCAGTTTACAGTGACAGACTCCAGCATAAAACACACACACATTTCAGGTCAGATATTTGTACAAGAATGAACATCAATCAATTCAAACAATCAAACTTTTTTTATAGAGCACGTTTCATACAAAAATACAACACAAAGCGCAACAGAGCTGAGCATTTGTGCCGCCAAGTGCAAAGGCCAAATACAAAAC